ATATCCAACATTTCGGTCTGCTGATTCAATTTTAGTAACATAATAAAACAAATCATGTCATATAAGACCAGTCCCGTAGCCAGTGACGAAGGGACTTAAGTAGCTAAAAGTTCCTCGAAATCAATGGAAGGTCTAAACTATATATATGTTTATTTATCATGACTATTTAAGATAAAATTTTTTTTTTAATTATTGATATTATCTTAAAGTCGATATCCTACCCATATCCAGTTTTTCAATCCTTAAAGAGCATTTCTGACTAAGGGCCTGTCCCAGGCATTTTATATATACTTTAAGGTTTTTCAGTTTACAATATTAATCGTTTAACAGCCGCTGAACTTGTGAAAATTCTAAAAACTTATTACAAACATAGAGTTTCTGTAGTCGATAAATTCGTATCGATTTTTGGTACTGATAAGGTTCAATTTTTGTTTAGTGATTATATCAACAAACAAAATTATTGTTCCTAGGAAAATTCACAAACAATTCTCGACAGACCATTGCAAGTCAAAAAAAATCACTACATGCAGCAATTTATAGGGAAGTATAACAGACCTTTACTTTTTCAAAAAATGAAGGTGTGACATAAACACGTATTTCTGATTACTATAGCTATTTGATCAACATTTTTTTTTGTGAAAATAAAGGTAAGTATGTAAAACATTTCTCAGTCAAATTATGGACGAGATATTGCTAGCTATGGGCTCACAAGTCATCGAAAATAACCTCAAATGGATCAAGTACTCTGAAATGATTCGTGGAAGATATGTAATCGATGTTTTGCACAATCAATGAAAAGATTTAAACAATATATTGAAATAAAAAAATATACCCCATATTTGCTTTGGGAACCACAAAATGAATAACCCTGTATATTACCAATAATTCATATTCTAACACTCATAGTGTATACATTCCAATAATTTAAGATAAGGCATCGTATTGTATATAGACTACGATACGATATTACCATATTTTAAATATTTATTTTTAAATACCTATTAATTTCTTTCTTTTTTATTTGTGGTTATGGTTTAATTTTAAATTTGAGTTAAGATTTGAGTACTTAAATAAACTAGAACTTATTTTATATTCTATTAATTTTTAGCAAATATTTTAACAACGAAAAATTACCTTTGCTCGGCGCTCCTTGTAGGCGTATTGATGTTGGACACTGTGCACCTTTAAGCAATGAGATTCTAAGGAACAGCGCTGGGTAAAGCTCTTCTCACATAAATTACATTTATATGGTCTCACACCAGTGTGAGTACGCGTGTGACGTTTCAAATCAAATGTGTCATTAAAGCCTTTGCCGCAAAATGTGCACAGATAGCGTTTAATCTCGGAATGACATTTCATATGACGATTTAGCAAACGTTGAAGTGAGAATGCCTTTAAGCAAACGCGACAGACAAATTTTGAACCTTCGACACTCTCAATAGTGTCATTTGCTACTGAACTACTAGAGCCTTTCTTCATGTCATCAATACAATCGATGCTGCGTAATCGATGATGTCCAGTATGCACATTCTCTGCTGCTAATGGATTTTTAATACCATGGCCACCATTAACAAATTCCAATTGTACCTCTGGTGGTAAACCCAACTGTACAAAAAAATAAATAAATATATATTGTTAACACTATGCTATATACGATTCTACATACATATATATGTAACATAAAATAGTTGCACATACATTATATAATTATTTACACAAGTTCAACTAGCAGATCAGTACACCTCTTATACATATCTTTTACAGCTACAAATATTATTCGAGCAATTGGAAGCTGCGAGCATTTCGATATTCGCATATATGGTTGTGTTCGAGCACAGCGAACTTTTCGAAAATATTCGAACTTTATTTGTTATTCGAGCATTTGCTGTATTGGGGAAACAGAACCGTTTAGGTATTAGAGTTGCTCGAACATCTTCGTTTATCTAAGTGCCCGATCCAAATATTATCATAAGGCTCGTGCAATTAGAAACACTAATATATTTCAAACTTACTAGCTACTTTCCTAATTTACACATTACATTACTACACATTTTAATATGAATACACAGTAATCCCCCCTGTAACGCGGTACCCTGTATGTTTTCATATTACCTGATTTCAATCTCCCGTGTAACACGGACGCGGGGATTTGTACAGAACATAATTAGCTTTGCATATCTTTGCACGTGTATATACGGGGTATACGGGAATACCCTTATAACGCGAAATCAATCTACCGCGTTATAGGGGAGATCACTGTACATTTATATAAGTGTATATAATTACATATATCTTACATATACAAAACATCAGTTAACACACAAAAACTATATCTTGGGTTTCTTAAATAATTATAGTCGTGTAGACTTTTTACACACAGGACGGACACTTAAGACGACTTCACTGCTCAATATAAATTATAAAAATTTACAAAGACAAAACAAGGATTGCAAACAAAATAAAAGGTCATATTTTCTTTTGCAATGCTTACCCGCTGCTGAAGCACTTTGCTTTCATGCAACATTGCCACCGTGGGCGAAGGCGGTAAAATGCCAACTTCAGTAGCTGCTGCAATATTAAGCAACTTGCTAGGCACGTTAGTGGCCGAGACAGTGGACTTATTATTCAATTTTTTAGAGCTGCAAGAACTTGCATTTGAACTGCTGATCGAATGAGTGGGACTTACGCTTTGAATCAGTGGCTTAGCATCGACTATGACATTATTATCAAGAAGTGCTGTAGCTGACGAAATTGATGAGCTGCTGGCTGCAGATGATGTGTTATGATGTCCACCCATGTGTGTTGTATTTGGTGAGGGTAGCGAAAGATTACTATTGTCGCTATTATGATGATGCTGCTGTTGCATGTGATGACCAGCTGCTGCGATATGATGCTGCTGCTGTTGCTGATGATTGAGATGATGATTGTGTGAATGTACATATGAGTTCTGTTGCTGATAAGCATGCTGTTGCTGTTGCATAGGTTGCTGACATAACAGCAATGGGCTGCTGTGCCCCATTAGATTATGTTGCTGTGATTGGTACGTTGAATTGTGTTGACCGGCAAGTTGATGTTGTTGTAATTGCATCAGATCACGTGTCGCATGTTGATAAGATGGTGGTGGTTGTTGCTGTTGATGATGCTGTTGTGTATTTGTTAAATGCTGCTGAGTAGTTGAGCTATGCTGACGCTCAAAAGAAGGGTAGCCTTGACCATTAACAGCAACATGATTACGCGAAATATTGTTTGTAATTTGTTGCATTAAATTTTCATGAAATGAATTCAGGTTGTTTGTAGCGTTGTTATCGACTGGTGTAATAGAGACAGAATCTGGTGTAAGTGATGGAGTAGATGTCAATTCAAACTCTTGTCGTGGGCTTGTTGAGTTTTCATCATCACCTCCGCAGCCACGTTGTAAGAATGAACTCAAGTCGACTGCATCGAGTTGATCGAGAAACTGATCGTTTTGTGATAACATCAATGTACCGGTGAATTGTAGTGGATCAACTGTACCATTATGACCCTGTGTGTTTGCTAAGTCTGACATAATTTCATCATCATAGTTTGCCGCATTGAAGTTATTTGGATTTCCCAAAGTTGCTTGTAGAATATTTTGTGCGAAAGCTCCAATGTCAATCTTGCCCTCATCGTACTCAATATCAGGTTCATCCTTTAGTATTATGCCGTATTCTGTGGGATTAGCACCGTATTGTGGATGATGGTTTGAATGAAAAGAATTATGAAATTTAGCATTTTGTAAATGCATGGAATAATTATTATTACACTGACCATTTGGATAAACCGAATTTTCAACATTATTACTGTTAAGTGAATTGGCGCTCTCAGCTGAGCTGCAACAATTACCAAAACCACCCTGCTGCGACCCAGAGTTGCAGTTGCCATTGTTCGATGCCGAAATTAAATATGCTGCAGCATTTTGTATCAATATATTGGGATTTGTGTTTAGATGCGACGAAGCAGACGATGAGGAATTCATTGTGTTGTTTTTAAGACTTTCAAAAAATGGTGGTAATGCTCCAGATGGTGGTGAGTTTGGTCCGTAATTGCTACGCCCGTCTCTACCACCGCCCATGCCACCTCCGGCTCCACCACTACCACTACCTCCGAGCGCGCCACCAAAACCTGTTGGTGAGCCTGCACTGCCACTTGGGCTTTGATTACTACTAGCGCCTGCGCTGCTATTACCAAAGCCGCCACTATTTTGGAAACCTTGTCCAGCACCAGTGGATGACGTGCGACCGTGACCAGCGGCTGCAGAGAATATACCTGATAAACTACGCACGAACCTAGGATTCAAGCGTGCATGTGCTAAGACCGCACGTGCGGCTAATATTGCGCTACGACGACGTGCCTCACGAAGCCGACGTTCACGTTCTTGTCGTCTTGCGTTCAAGAATTCTGCTTGCTCTTCGTCACTATCGATGGAAGCAGTACGTCGCTTTGGTACGTGATAATCAAGAGGTTCTTGTTGCTCGGGACCAAGATGTTCAAATGCACCAACTGGCAATAAAACTTCGTGTTCTTGTTGTCTGTGCGTTTGCGCAACAGTGTTTGGTGTACGCTGTATAACACTACAGCGTACAGCTGGCTCTGGTGGTGGGGGAGGACTTGGGCGTTTTTCTAATGGTGGTGGTGTTTTGCGTAAACGTAATGATAAAGGCTTCTCTTCGGGCAGTAAAGGTTTTTCATCTACAATAAGCTTTGAACCGTCCGAATCAGAGTCTGAATTGCTATCACTATCATCGCTAAAATTGCTAGCAAAACCTCGACTAACAATTTCCACGGGATATTCCTTGCGCTGTGCTTGTGTTAAAACAATAGAGCCCGTATAGGGTTTACTACCACCTAATATTGATGAGATAAAACGCGGTTTGATTTGCGCCTGCTCTTCTTCTACTCCACTCTCCTCTTCGGTTTTCTTTGGTGAATTTAATCGATGAGATTCACTAGAATCCTCATTGCAGTCTCTTAAAATACAATTTTTTTCAGCAATACCAGCTTCCAGCGATGGCTTGGCAATGGAAGCCTGTTCTAAGAACTTATGTGGCGTCAGTCGAACAAATAGTTCGCTGCTTCGTACTGCAATCAAAAATAGAAAAAAAAAATTTATATTATTATTTGTTACACTTTTTGTATATTAACTATAAAAAATAAATATTAAACGTAACTGTACTAATTTCTTAGAATTTTTCACAAAAATCATCAAATAACGCTGTCTTAGCGGTCCGTTATCATTATTTGAGGGCGCATATAAAACTGGCGACATAACGGATTAGATTTTTTTCATTACCTTTTAGGGCGACAACGTGATGAAATCAAATATGTATGATAAGGACAAGTAATAACCGAATCATGTGGGATATGCAAATAACTATTGTGACTGAAAGCTCTACAGTGGTTGCAGAAATGTACGCATATAATAAATGCAACAGATAATGTCACTGTAGTGTTTTTATTTATGTTAAAAAATTTGTTTGGCTTTATTTGTTATTTGGCAAAAAAAAACCCACCAAATTTATGTACACATTTTGCAACTGACAGGGTAAAGCAAAAGCAAAACAAAAACAAAACAACAAGTAGACAGTTTAGCGGCGCCTAAACAGAAGTACACGCACTACACTACACACACACACTCACACACACATTTACACGCATGTGCAACGGGTTTAATAGTAACAGTTTAATCATTCAAAGCATTTTTGTATTAACGTTATTAAATATTTTTCCGCAACATTTTAACAAAACAATAACCAAAAAAACATTAACTGATTTGTTTTATATATAAAATATAAAACTGAAGCTCTCATTGATTGGATAACATTTGTACTGTTATTATTAATAAGAACTTTCTTGAAAATTAAAATTTAAATTTTAAATATTTTATAACTTTATTTTATAAAGAATTTTTTAATTGAAATACTTTTGAAACACATGTGTAATTTTGAACTTAAAATATCACATTTTTATCTGTATTTAAAAATATATTTAAACATTCTATTTATTTATTAAAATAATATATTGTACATATCCACCTTCTTTTATTTCATCATTTCTCTTAAAACAAATTATGTACTGCATTTTTACATATTTGTATAGAAATTAAACAAAAGTTAAAGTCACACGTTAGACACTTTCCAAGTAACAGAAAAATTGTTATTAAACTTGGGATGAACGGATTTAAGAACGGCATTTGCGACCTAACAACTTCTAATTTGAATTTCAACTCAAACAATGTGAAATTGTAACAGATCAAATGTTATTGATTTAACAGCTGCAAATGCATTGTCAGTGACAGAATAACATTTTTGACATAATAGAGATGCGTTTATTAAATAGTGGCAAGCAGTTCAAATTTGAATTAGTACTAAAAAGGTGTCGGTGATGTTAAATTTATAAAAATTTCAAAAATTTTCTAATAAAAAAAGGATGGAAATGGTGTGTATGTATACATATAATAAATAAAAAGTGCAATTTCAGAAATATTTATATTTGTATAACTTGGGTGTGATCTGTAATTTCTTAAAAAGCAGTCGGCAAAAATGCACAAAATTTAAATTTTTAATTTGTGAGTGATTTGTAGATTTAAAGCTATTAAAACTAAATAGATATAGGCAAATAAATCAATAAATAAATTTAGTGTAAAATAAAAAGCGTGAAACATGTCAACAATTAAAATCCCTATGTTATATCTGCTTTCAAAAGAAACAGCAATGATATCAGCAGATTATTAAACAATTAAATCATTTCAGTCACTAGAGCGAAATATTCTGCAAAAATATAAAATAAACTAGTAACAACAACAAATTTTATAGTACTTGTTTTGCTTTGAAATAAAAGAATAAAGTTACATATATTTACGGCGCACTGTTGTTGGGAAATAGCTTGCAGAATGATAAAGTGTTTGCAATAAATGCAAGTACAATTCAGCCTGCATTTAATGGCGTTTGAGATCAAGATCAAGGTTTTTTTTACATAATATTTATTGTGTTATTTATTTACTATAAACGGACGCCTAAGCAAGTATAAAGTCAAGTTTATAAGTTTTAATCGTTTTCATATAATGTTAAGTTCACATACATAAGTTTCCGATTTGTTGTTTATAATGTTGTTACCAACAACATGAAGCAAAAGGTAAACAGAAAAAGGTAGAAATGTTAAAAAAGCATGCAAACAAGTTGAAATGTAAACTTAAATAAAGAATGAAATTCAAAAAAAAACAAAAAACAACAATTGGAGGAGTTGAAAAAAAAACGCCAAATAGTTGCTTGCATTTAAAAGGAATAGAAAAACAAGTAAGACAAAAAAACTGCACTAGAATTTTTTTTAAGGCGTCACACGAAAATGGGTAATTAGTAAAATAAGTCAAATTGATCAGCTACTTGCTTTTTAGTTCGAATTTAACCGTAAAATAGAATAAAAGAAAAGGCATATTACAAGAAAAAAAATAGTAATGTTTAAATTTTTTATAACAGAATTAATTAATCATTCAAAATAAATAATATTTTCATTGATTAAAAATTAAAATGAAATTGTAAAATTTATGCAGGCGGACTAAACCTGCGCAGTGCGCCATTTTCTGATTTAGAAGTAACTTTAAGGTAAAATTGTAAAATATAAAATATGATTTAAAAGTTTAATATAATATTCATTTTATTTATAGAAACAGGCAACAAAGGTATATCTACAAGGACTACAAATAATTAAAAAAAATAAAGAAAAGATGTAAACATAACATTTGCAGGAGCCAATGTACAGGAGCCAATATATATGTATATTATCCGCTGGTCCCATATACCAAAAGTCTTAACAAAGGAACTGCATTGTATTTGAATCCCGCCGTCTATAAATCTTTCAGCAATACGTTTGAAATATATTAAAGAATTGTTCAAAATTTTTTAAACTAACTGTTACTTTAGTAATAGTGGAGCATTGTGACAGTCAGCAGTTGAGACACAAAACTCTACAACTTCAAGATTGTTCTAATTCTAATTAGTAAAAATGAATAGGTAATAATGTATATTATTTAGTAAATATAATTAATCAATTAAATTTAATTGCAGAATAACCATATTTTGAACTAAATATTTTACGTCCTTATCAGAACGTAGTATGTTACGTACAATGTGTACAGAAAACTCATTAAAGGCATGAACACTACACCAGGCTTCCTTTAACCACAGCCCTCGCCATTAACATCACCCGAATGTAAAATATTGTATTTTTGGTTTTAATGATATTAAGTTTCGGACACACTGAATATTTTACCGTTTTCGGTCTGAGGAACTTTGTTCTGTTCTGCAATTTGTACACAATGCATGGGCAGTTTTTATTACTAAATCAACTTCTTTTTAAACTTCAATTATTCTACAAACATTCCATTAACTTTAAATTCATATTTTAAAACACAAATAACTAGATACATATGTAGTTAATGCTTAATATAATTTTTAATTGCATTCGTACATTTTCATACAATTTCTTGTCAAACAATTTTTTTACTAACATTGAAGAAGAAGAATTGCTAACCATATGAAATAAATACATTGCTTTTGTTACTTACTAATTACTACTTTCAATTATGATTATTACTTCTGGTTCTTTGGAGTTAATTCCCACGTACACATAACTACCATGAATTATTTTATTTACAGCAATTAAATTTATAATATGCATTGGGTCTGCGTTATGTATTATATTATACCGACTTCTTGTTTATACATATTTTAATAGCACTTTGAAAAAAAAACCATTTAACATAGTAATAGATAGAAAATATGCATTTGAATTCCATGTTTCTGCAATTATAGCGAATCATTAATCAAAGCATAAACTAAATCGTTAAAGCAAAGTTATTTGACTTGATTGAAAAATTTGTTTATTTCATGCAAAAGTAATTCCTATGGTTTGAGAAGAATGCAAAAACTTTTACTCTTTATACGCCACTAAAAGCATAAAAAATATTATATTATAGTTGAAATTAGTTGTAATTTATTATGGTTTTCAAATTCAATTTAATTCATTAATTTATATAATATGTTATAGCTTTATTAGTTTATCTTATAATCATTATTATGTAGAAAGTAAAAGTAAAAGGTTTTAACTACTATTATGTTAAAAGATTAGTACGTTTAATTTTATATGTTCCATTACTGTATTATGCAAAAATCATGTTATATACTTGAATCCTAAATATTTTCTATATATTTTGTGTAAAGTAATATAAATAATATATTTTAATTTTTGATACAGGTAATACAATACATAAAATTCGCTTGAGATGGGGCACGTCATGAGAATGCCGGAAGATAGATCACAAAAGCGAAGACTCCATTTCACGCCGTACAACGACCGCAGTAGAGGTATACCACGTATTAGATGCCAGGACAACGTGATCGACGACATCAGAAAAATGGGTATCCAAAATTGGAGGTCTAAAACAATATGCAAAGCAGAAGCTAGTTGATGCAGCTAAAGCTTACCCCAAGCTGTAACGCTTGATGATGATAATAAATATAACACATATCTACATTAAGACTGAAAAGTTTTCGGAAATTCTCATTTAAAATTCGCGCGCTGTATATTTTTCGATATTTTAAGTTTATGTAGTTTGGCAGCACTGTCCTTAATTTCTATGCCAAAAATGAGCGCGATCTGTCAGACAGTTCGTTTACGGCAGCTGTTGAAACCAGTTCACCTCAGTAGTGCGTTGCGAAATGTCTTCGACGGTCTTACGACCGTCCTGAAAGGCTTTGTACCACTCATAAACTTGAGTTTTCGATAAAACTGATTCCCCATAAGCCTTTTGTAGCATTCGCAACGATTCTGCACACGAAATTCGTTCGAAACACAAAATTTGATGCAAACTCTTTGTTCAATATTTTTTTCCATTGTTTTTTTCGCAACGCACTACTGAGGTGAACTGGTTTCAACAGCTGCCGAAAACGAACTGTCTGACAGATCGCGCTCATTTTTGGCATAGTAATTAAGGACAGTGCTGCCAAACTACATAAACTTAAAAATATCGAAAAATATACAGCGCGCGAATTTTAAATGAGAATTTCCGAAAACTTTTCGGTCTTAATGTATGATTCATTCGACTAAAAAACTTGTAGCAACGATTCGTTTATGGTTTTTAATATTTAGTGTTAAAGGATTGAAAGGGTGTCATAAAATGTTTTTGGATTTTTACTGGACTTTCTAATCTATCAGATTACCAATATTTATGTTATTAATTATAATTATTAACAATTAAAGTATTTAATTATTGTAATGAAATAATGTAATGTTATATTAAATAATTTAACAAGATTTTTAAACATATACACAATTAATGTTGTAATTAATATTTCTAGAATATTAAATTTCTAATATTTATGAATTTAATATAATATATTTATAATATTACAATTATTACAATTATTGTTGTAATTAATATGCTTATTTTGTTAATTTTATTTAATAATATTTATATATTTGTATACAATTTTTAAATACTTCCAGTATATTTCCTTTAACAATTATTTTATTTATTTATATACTATTTTTTGATGAACCATATTTGATTAAAAATTTAAATAAATCGTTAAGTAATTAATAGTCAATGTGAAAATAATTTACACTTAATGTAAATATTTAAAAACAACTTGTTATAATTAACGGTTATGTATGTATATGAATATTAAAAACTCCAATGTACATAAGATAAATTTACTTTAATAGGGCGATTGCTGATTTTAAAGGCTAAATTGTTAACGATCTTAAAGTAATTTTAGTTGCATATAAATTATTGTTATTATTATTATTTTATGAAAATGTGAACATGTTTCCTTCCTATATAATTTATATTGTATTCAACTTATTCTCATACTAACAGCAATCAATATTTTAAATTACTATGCAAATATATTGAAACGAGTACTGGTTAATATGCATAGTTCCTATAAAGCCACCTACAATTTTCAATAATCCACTTTTCAAAACGTTAAATTACTGACTTATATACAGAGTTTTTTTTTTGTTTGTTTGTATTTATTTGTATTTATATAAAATTAACAAACTGCTAATATAAATGTATTAAAATTTGCTTTTATTGTGTTAAGGTCAAGGTAATTTGTAACGTTTAATTACATAAATTTGTTTCAATAATTGTAGTTTATACAGCTAAAATATGTATATGTGTGTTTGTGAGTTAGTTTACTTTATTCTGCTATTAGAGTTTAAATATTTAATGTTTTATTTTCACAGCTTATATTATTAAACTCTGTTTAAATAAAATTTGATTTTTTTTTTTCATTAAAAGTTCACTTACGGAAATAATTTTAATTGAATTGTGTGGCAACCTTCGCTGGGGTTTCGTTTTCATGCTGTTTATTTTTAATATTATTAACCAAAAAAAAATGTGTAAAAATTGTTTATAATTTGTGGGAAAAATTTAAGTTAATTTTAATGTTTATTTTATGTAAGCAACATTTTGAGACTGCTAAGAATTTTAAGAAACCCATTAAAATTATATTTAAAATTGAAAAAGCTGTTTTTTTTCTTTTTTTTTTTTGTTTTGGGGAAAGGAAGGTTGTTATATATATATATTTGTGTATATATATATTATACTTTTAAACAAAGAGTCGTTTATTTAATTGGCTTAGGTACTGCATAAATAATTCCAAGTAATGTAATATGGAACATAAAATTTAATGTTTTTGTAAGTTAAACTTTAATTTATTCTGGTTTTTCGGCAATTACTGGCCTAGTATGTTAATTATATATAGTATATATGGAAGTAATTAGTTTAATGTTTTAAATATAACTATGACAAATATCTGCTCTTTCGAGTTAAGCAAGTTGACAATATTTTTTATTAGTTATTGTATGTAAAATAACAATTATACCGTTCTGTAGTTAAATACTT